TAGCTTCTAGCTATCCTTTTGATGCGTTTAGCTAGCATTTTGCTATGTTTAGCTTTTAGTTAGCTTTTTATTACATTTAGCTATTACATAGCCTTTGCAGCTTTTAGCTTGTCTAGCTTTTTGCGACTTTTAGCTTTCAACTACCCTTTTGCTACTTTTAATTTTACTGTTTTGCTACATTTAGCTTTTAGCTACTGTTGGTTCATGCTGGTGTTCTGCTTCTTTTGACTTCAACAACTCAGTTTTATCTTCTTCAATCGGCACTCACAATTTATTTTTACGGGGGGGGGGGGGGGGGGGGAACATGCATTTATTTTGGCCTTTTTAGTTTGGAATGTGTTAGTTTGTGAAGCTGTCAGTAAATAATCCTCGTTTGGGTTTAGGTGTATAATCTGCATGGGATTGAAAAACTGCTGCAGCTGCTTAACAACGACAGCGAAGAGGTGCAGCATGTTGCTGCTGGAGCGCTGCGTAACGTTGTCTACAACAACAACGAAAACAAGATGGAAGTCAAGGACTGTGACGGCTTGGCCATCATTGTGAACACGCTGACAAACAGCATCGATATGGAGACGAGATGCCAGCTCACTGGTCAGTATGTTTTGATTTTGCACATATGTTAAAAGTTGCACTCCACTTTTGGAATCAACATCTAAAGGATGTGGGCCAAATCAGGCCCACTGGTGAGCTCAGTTCAGACCAACAATGGGTTAATCCTTAATAAAAACTAGATGTTAAACGGTAAAACAAGTTTAATTAATGACAATAACTGTTGCATTTCTGGCCCATAAGCTCTTGGCTTTCAGTAACTGTGGAGCCCTGAGCAGTTTAGTTGAATAGACCTGTTTTATAAGCAAGTTCTGCCGTTTAATGGAATGATAGTGACTTGAGTTGCAGCCAGGAGCATAAGCAGCATTACACTGAAAGAATGGCTCCAACTGAAGATAAAAGAAAGTAATAATTGAACGAGTCATCAGTTGCTTCTGCAATTGATTGCTGTAAGGGTAATTAAAAAAAAATTTTTTTTGCAGAAATGTCACACTGATTAAACCACTGCAAAAATATAATTTCATAATCATAAAAAAAGCAACGCACGTTAAGGAGAAAACTTTTAAAACTAATAAAACTTGCCAAAAACTTAACTTTTGACTTTAAAGGAACCGACATCATTGCTTTCAGCACTTATTTTGTTATTTTATCAAACTATAAAAAACTGAAAAAAAGTATTTATTTTCCAAGTATTCATTAGTTAATATTTTAACTCCACCAACTATTAGATCAAGAACAAATATAACCAGGAGTGCATGTTTTAATTTAAATACAATACCAGCTCAGGTAAAATTCAGAAATGAATACCTTTCCTAATAATACTTGTTACCGTATTTTCCGCCATATAAGTCACATCTATTATGTGTCGCCGCTGACCACCCGGAAATGTGGGCCGGTGTTGTGCCAAAAATCGATTGGCTTCCAAAATGGCGGCCTTGGGAGCGTGCACGGGAGGACTTTAACTAGAAGATTAACGCAAGACGAAGGTGGCTTCAATGCTCAATGTTTCACGATTTGGTAGATTATAGTATTTTATCAGTTATGTATAGGGCTCATAATATTACATTACCTTTAAATATCCAATTAAATTGTGTTAAAAGAGAGAGATGTTATAATCTTAAGGGGATAGAGATATTTGTGAAACCTAAATTTAGAGCTAGTTTTAAGGGACGGTCTACTTCAATCCAAGGAATTAGATTATGGAATAATCTGGAGAGTGATGTTAAAAACGCCAGATCAATGTATATGTTTAAGAGAATGAATCAAAGTTGATTTGTTTAAAAAAAAATGAAATAGCTTAATGTGTATTTGTATGAATTGTTCCTCAAGAATGAGTTATTTATTTTGTTTTTGTTATTTGACAATTATTATTGCTTGGATTAATTGTTTGGAAAAAAAAATGGGGCAGATATAAGATTTTTTTTCTTCTTTCTGCTGCCTTTCATTTTATTTGTGATTGTATATTTGTATATTGTATATAGAATAGTTTTATTTTTAAAAATCAATTAACATAATTATGTATGGCAAGCCAAGTGTCTCATTAATAGCCACTTTTACCTATTAATGAGACACTTGGCTTGCCATATAGCTTTAGGGCCCTCTAGTGGCTGAAAATGGTAGTGTTCAGTGTTTTTCATGTCAGAATGAATTAAATTGTCAGATCTCAGCCAAAAATTGGATTATAAATATGGGGGGGGACACATATATTAGTCACTTTGATGTTTAAGTCGCAGGACTTGGAAATTTATGCAGAAAGGTGCGACTTATACGGCGAAAAATACGGTAATATTCTCCTCTCTCTTAGGTCTTATGTGGAACCTCTCCTCTCATGACGTTTTAAAGGAGTGCTTCCCCAAAAACACTGCATGCGTCTTAACCAAGTCAATCCTGGTGCCCAGCTCTGGCATTTTGGAAGGCGAGAACCCAAAAGACGAGCTTCTTGCTGATGCTAATGCTTTCTACAACGCCACAGGCTGCCTACGGTACGTATCCGGTTAAACATATGCATCTACAAATGATCAGGGTTTCTATTCTTTTCCTTTTTAAAAGTCATGATTTATGATTAGTGTCAAAGGTGGTTAAGTAAACACTGTAAACCTTTCTGTGAATCTTCTTTAAAAAGAGAATCAGGAAATACTGACTAGTATTTTGTGGGTATGCTGTGTACTATATAAGGTTTACTGTAAAGTTGCTCCAGCTGTCATGAGCTCGTAGCGTGAATCGTGGATTTACGTTCCGTCTTGTTCAGACGCAGCTCTGCGTGTGTGTTGACAAAGCAGCAGAAGCAGCGCTCCCCAGGCGACTGGAGCCGGTAGCAAAAAAAAAAAAAAACAGCAGAAAAGTTAAATTATTCAACAAGCTCGCTCTTCTCCCCACAGCTAGCTGAAATCTCACTGCACCCACGTTAGAGTTCATTTTGAGCTCCAACAATGAGTCGTTTTTCACTTCTGTTTTATTTTCTTCACATATTTTCATTATGAAATAATTTTATGATTGCTGCTTGTGTTTAAATATAAAAGAGTGCATTCTTGTGCCGTTACATGTTTTAGGATGAAGCCATTCTCCTCCAGCTGTTTAAAAAAATAACACCTGATGGACTGGGTGTAAAAGAACATTTTAGAAGTCAAGATGGGAAGAGGTTTACCAGTGTTAGGAAAACTGTCTATAAATTATTGACTGTAAACACAATCCATTGTGCCATCCTCAAATTCAGGTTAAAGCTCTATCGTGCAAAGACAAAGCTCGTTTAAAATGGAGTCAACGTGGAAAACTGCTCTGTGGTCAGACGAGGCAACATTTGAAATTAGTTAGAAAACTTCTAACGCCACGTCCTCTGCACTAAAAAGGAGAGGGAGCATCCGGCTTGTTATTAGCTTATGGTTCAAAACCTGCCTCTCTGATGATATGGGGGTGCATTACCGACTCTGGAACGAGCAGCTTCCATATCTGGAAAGGCACCATTAATGCAGAAAAGTACTACAGGTTTTAGCACAATATTTGCTCCTATCCAGACTGCAGCAATTTCTTAATTTAAGTATTTCACTTATTGCGTGAATGTTCATGTTCACTTTTGTGATCCATTTCTCTTCCGTACATTTTTCGGCATCTTTCTCGTTCCACAATTTTTGTGCCATTTCATCAAATCCTATATCGAAAAGTTCAGCTCATTCAGGAGAAGGGCGCTATGACATTTGGTACTGGTGCAACTTTAGCTTTTTTTGAAATATTTAGCCACTTTTTTTCTCATAGAAAATGAAATGAGCTCATTTTACCTCCTTCAGATCTATAGATGTGTTTACAACCTTTTACTGCTCCTTTCACATTTTGTTCTGCTTCAACTTCTTTGTGCAAACTTTAGCTTTTTTCAGCTAATTTCAGCTGTTTTTTTATCCTTTCAGACTCTTTCTGCTAACTACAACATTTTAATGTGGCTTCTAATTTCTTTCTGCTAATTTCAGTTTATTATGCTCCTTTCAGCTTATTTATGCAAGTTTCAGCTTTTTCTGCTATTTCAGCTACTATTTAGCTGATTGTATGCTAATTTTAGCTTTTTCATCTTATTCCACATTTTTTGCAATTATTTCAACCTTTTTCAACCTAATTCAGCAAAAATGTGCTCTCTGCACTCCCTTCTGGTACTTTAAGCTTCATTCAGAAAATTTTAGCTACTTTTCAGCTATTTTTGTTATTGTTGATAATTTCAGCTTTTTTCAACTATCTACATTTTTGTGCTCGTTTCTGCTTCTTTCAGTCTAATTGGGCAAACATGTTATTTCTGTTTTCTTCTGCTAATTTAAGCTAGTTCTACCTTTTCAACTACTTTTTTTTTTTTTTAGCATTTTAGCATTTTTCAGCTTAATTAATTTGTTTTCAAATAAATTCAAGTTTTTCATAGTAATTTCTGCTACATTCAGCCTAATTATGTTCTTTGTGCTAATTTCAGCTCCTTTCAGCTTTTTCTTCTATTTTCAGCTTTTTCTGCTGTTTCAGCTACCGGTACTTTTTAACTGTTTTGTGCTAAATTTAGCTTTTAAATACAGGTAATTCCGCTTTATTTTTAAGCTCATTTCAGCTCCTTCGACTTCCTTCTGGTAGTTTAGCGTTCTTGCTAGATATTTTTCAGTATTTTTTGCTAATTTCAGCTTTTTTAGCTAATGTCCTAATTTGTGTGCTCTTTTATGCTTATTTTAATTTAATTCAGCAAATATGTGTTATTTCTGCTTTCTTCTGCTAACTTAGACTTGTTCTTCAATTTCAGCTACATTTCAGCATGTTTTTAGCTAATTTTAGCTGTTTTTCCCCAAGTTTTAATTGTGATTAAAATAAATTCATGAGATTTTCACATCTCTGCCTTCTGTTTTTGTTTAGTTTACATAACGTACCAACATTTTTGGGTTTAAAGTGATTTAATTTAAAAGCACCCACGCTTTGTTTCAGTCATTCCTTTGTGTGTGCAGAAATCTGAGCTCTGCTGGCCCAGACGTCCGTCAAGCTATGAGGGTGTGTGAGAACCTCATCGACTCGCTTGTTTACTACATCCGAGGAACCGTCGCCAACCAGAACACCAATGATGAGGTGAGACCAATGGGATAAGCCTAAGAGGAAATATTTTGTCGTCACAGATTACATGACAATGCTCACGATGAGTGATGAACGTTCCATTAATACTCACAAACTAGAATTTCTGCTTCTTCTCGTTCTCTTTTATCCCGTACTTTTCAAAGAAGACATGGGTGAATCGTTTCAAATGTTTACGGTTCCCCAGAGTCTCTGAGTGATGTATGCTTGTGTTTAACCAGCTTGCTTCGATGGAATTAACTCCTTTTTTTTTCTTTCTTAAAGTCCACGGAGAACTGCGTCTGCATCCTGAACAACCTGACTTTTCAGTTTGGGTTCGAGCTTTCGCAGCAACACGTGAAACTCCCCAGAGAATCTCGACAAGTCTCGGCTCCTGAGCGGACGTCTGTGGGCTGCTTTTCTCCTCGCAGTGCCAAAATCTCACAGGTAATCCCTTCACACTCTAATCCCCCTTTAAAAGTTCAGAAGATGTCTTTTGTGGTTTAATGTTTGAGAGGGATATCCGTTAATCATGCTTAAAGAGCTTCTTTGAAGGTCAGCTTCCTCTTTAGCTACATTAGTGGGTGAGGAATATCCAAGTCAACTGATGGATTACAGCTTTGTGAGGTTCACCTGTTTCTGCAGGAATGCTATCACCGACTTTTGGAGACATAAAACTGGCAGAATTGCAAGAAAATATTTTTTTCAGTTGCAACCTCACTGAAGTTGTACTTGCGATGTGTTTTATGCACGTTGCATGAATGCATCACGAAGGTCTCACAAACTCCCAGTGGAAATTGGGTTAAATTCTCCACGTTCGCTACTATTTTACTCAAATATCTCGGGAGTGTCCTCGTGCAGTAGTTGCAATTTTGGGGGCAAGTCAGACTGTTGTTCAACAATTGCGCTACATAATTTTATTTTTTTTGGAGTTTGCATATATAAGCATGAGCTACCACCCTGTTCCCGTAATATCATCCCAAAACACATTACCGTTTCAACTGCAGCTTGACTTATTTATGCAATGGAAAGAAAATAATTACCGTATATTTCGGATTCTAAGGCGCACTTAAAATCCTTTAATTTTCTCAAAAATCAACAGTGAGCCTTATAATCCGGTGCGCCTTATGTATTAATTCTGGTTGTGCTTACCGCCCTCGAACCGATTTTATGTGGTGCTCTAAAATCTGTAAAATGCACCTTATAGTCCAAAAAATACGGTAATAATAATGAAAAAGAATTTAAATAGCATTCCGTACTGGCTGTGTTCTCTTGCCTCTGTTGGACCCCTGAAAGAACAAATGCCACTTATATGTTGCTTAGAACTACTTTAAAATAACAAAAACTGAATAAAACGACTTCCTAATGGCTCTAATTTAAAATCTAGGCTCTGATATTATTTAAGAGTTCAAGCAGAACATCAAATTTGAGCTTAAAAACTACAAGCCTGATATAGAAAAAACTTGGCATGCTGTGTAAATCTAAATAAAGTAGAACAGTCTTATAGTTGTACTATTTTTAGGGGAAAAAAATAAGTAATTTAGAATTTTAAGGCAGGCGCAAAATAATGCAGGTTTGCTTATTTGGAATGCATTCAGTCTTTGATACTACTTCATTAAAATGGAACTTTGACTTTACGTTAAATCAAATTAAAGAGTTGAGTGATAATGAACAATTTATTTCACAAAATTCTGTGCATGTTTTATAAGTCGCATCAGTCCAAATATGTCTAATAAAGTGGAAAAATCCATAAATATGTCGCTTTGCCATATACGTAGCATCTATTATGCGTCACCGCTGACGCGTCACGTTTGTTTCGTGTCACCGCTGACAACCTGGAAATGTGGGCCGATGTGCCAAAAATCAGTTGGCTGCCAAATGGCGGCCCCAGGAGCATGCAGGGGAGGACTTTAACAAGAATTTAACAAGATTAATGCTTAAAAACAATTATTTGTTTGCTCGACATTATAATTAATGCACTTTAACGGTCAAATCAGCTTCATTTCACCGGGGCGGCGCAGTGAAATGAAGCTGATTTGACGTTTGCTCTAAGCGAGCTGGACAAAGGTGGCAGACCATGGCGAGCTGATAGTGTCATTAATAGCCACTTTTGCCTGTTATATGATACAACGGCATGCCTTACTACTCTGCTGCCATCTAGTGGCTGAAAATGGTAGTGTTCAAATTTTTTCAGTCAGGGTGAATGAAAACGGTCATATCTCAGCCGAAAATTTGTTTATAAATATGGGGAAAAAAATCCATAAATATGTCGCTTTGGCCTATAAGTCACAGGGCATACAAATTATGCAAAAAACTGTGACTTATACGGCGAAAAATACGGTACACAGTAAGTTACAAATACTACAAGCTCTCACACACCAGCAGAAATCTAAATGAAAATAAAGGCGTGGCAAATATTCAGCTCTCTATCATTCTAGATGAGATCCAGCCATAACTGTAGTACTGCAATTTATTTTAAAATGAACTGTAGTACTGGTCTTGCAATTTATTTTAAAATGAACTGTAGTACTGGTCTTGCAATTTATTTTAAAATGCCTAAAATGCATGCGAGAATTTTGAGAAACTCTAATCTACTGTCATTCACAATTTGCTGCAACTTCCTGGTGTAAATAGAAGCTCTGCTCTCAGTCTTTGGCCGAATTTTCTTTTTTTTTTTTTTTTTTTCTTTTTTTTGTTGAGACATTTCGTCCTTCATCCAAAAGACTTCATCAGTCCAAGGAGCCACAACAAACTTAGCCCCACAAGCAGCACACTCGCATAGTGGACCAACCAGTTTGCTGGTGATAAGATGGTTTCTGGGGCCCGCCCTCTCCCCGTCGACTCTTCTGAGGCAGCTACAGCCTAAGTGGTTCAGAACATCAAAGTCCATGTTCAATAATCCAGGTAAACTGACTGATGAAGTCCTGTGGATGAAGGCCGAAACGTCTCAAAAATAAACAAAAGAAATCTTCCAGATGACCTGACTGAACATTGTTGGATTTTTTTACCTGGATTATTGAGCATGAACTTTGTTTTATTTACAAACTAACAAAGAAATCTGTGAAATCTGCGACTTGCTGAGATGTTTGCAGGAAATTTAGCTGCATGAAGAAGAAAAGGTTTAAAAGACAGTATGCCACTTTATTATATACATATAACATATTCATGCATAAAGGTGTATGTCTGCATTTGTATGGCTGGACACGCGCTTGTGGAAACCCTCTGCGGCTGCTTTGTTTCATGGTTACCCCGTCTGACCCCACCAGCCTGAAATGAGCAGCTCTGAATCCTCTCCTCCCAGGATGTGGAGCAGCAGCGCCTCCCGCTGGAGGAGAACCCCAACCCGCACGGCGCAGAGTGGCTGTGGAGCCTCATCACCATGAGGATGTACGTGTCGCTGGTGGTCTGCAGCAAGCGGCGGCTCACGCAGGAAGCTGCCTTTGGGGCCTTGCTGAACATCACGGCTGAAAACGGAGCGGTAAGAAGGGACTTTGGAAATTGGCGCTCGTTCAGAGTTTTGCTTTGTGCCAATAAGTGCACAGTCAGGCACACAAACGTGAACTTTTTTCAATCGATGGTCACGATTACTTTTGTCCCTAAGAATCGTTTCTTGTTGCTTGCACTGAAAAGAGCAAATGTTAAATGGTTTCCTGCGCCCTCACAGGTGTCCAAAGCCATCGCCGTCACTTTATTTCAGAAGGAAAACGGACTCAAGCTCATTAAGAACATCTTACACAAGGGACGCAGTCATTTAAAGACGACGGCCATTTCCCTCACTGCAAACCTCTCTCGCCACCACGAACTGCGTCCTTTCATTGGTAACTTCACGCTCGAGCTTCAGATACCTTTTAGTAATAGCCTCCTTTTTGAATTGTACTTTGCCTTGCACCAAACTTAACTTTTTGTTGAACCTGCAGCGAGCCAGATGTTGACAGAAATAGTGGACAGGTTGGTCTACGACGACCTGACCAACGAGGAGCTGATAAATCTGTTCCACATCCTCATTAATCTGAGTCAGAGTGACGTGAGGACCGCCAGAGCCATCGTCAACCAGGGCGCCCTGACGACCATCATCCACAGCAGCAAAAACAACAGGTCCGTCTCGCCACGGCCAAGAAACTCTTCTCGTACAACTCCAAGTTCTTTTAATGTTCAGTCTTTATTTATTAGCTAGTTTTACTTATCAAAATAGTCCCGGTGCAAAACCATTTCTCACCCAGCTTAACCGTTTGTCTCTTTCTTATGGGTCCAGTCAAGCAGGTAAGACGGCGACTGTTCTGCTGCAGACGATGTGGGTCCACAGTGAAGCCCAGTGGGCCCTGAAGAAGGTGAGTCCCTTCATGTACCGCACTGCGTCGAAGGTTTCAGTAAACGATTGCGGCACTGTCTTTCTGCGTTGTGTACTATGAGGTGCCATTTGTAAAGTTACACAGTCAGAAATTAACAGCAGTATTTTTGGTTTATTTAGAATTTCATAAGAAAAATTATAATTTATTTTTTTTCAAAGTCATATTTTCATTATGTTATTCATACATTTATAAATGTCATAGTTCCAAACTAAATATTTAGCACCGGATCCGCCCCGAATGTTATGCCACATGGATTCGGCTTCTATTTTAATAGTCCACTTCTGCTTTTCGCCAAGGAATTTGCATATTAACTAAATATTTAGCTCCCAGTTAAATGCGTAGTTAGCAAATTAAATATTTAGTTTAGGAATTAAATGTTTAGTTTGGAAATTAAATGTTTAGTTTTGAAAATAATTATTTATCTTGGAAATTAAATGTTTAATTTGCACCTAAATATTTAGTTTACTAACTAAATATTTAACTTGCAAGTTAAGTTTTGAGTTTGTAAACTAAATATTTAGCTTGTAAATTAAATATTTAGTTTGGAACTATGACATTTATAAATGTATGAATAACATGATGAAAATATAATTTTGAAAAAAAAAAAATCCTATGAAAGGTTAAACAAACCAAAATATTGCTGTTAATGTTCAATTGTGTAACTTTACAAACGGTACTCCATAGTGTACAAACAAAGACATATTTGGAAAATTTACAAAATAAAATTTTAATAATCGGGAACAAATTGTTTGCAAAATCTGTTGTCCCTTTACAACTTTTGAGAATGTGTACAATTAAAAAAAAAAAAAGAAGTCATTTTTTGTTTTATTTTAACCTTCTCCTAACCCCAAAACTACAAAGCAAAGTATTTTCTTTGTCTTCATGGACTCACTTACCCAACAACGTGTAAAAAGACACAAGTTTTAGTATTATACATGTTGTACTGTGAAGGTTAGAGGGGCCAGGAACGAATATTAAAGGAGCAGCCACCTAAAGGTTAGTCTGTCCAAAGAAGTGTTTATTTTAGCTCAACGGCCAAACTTAATGCAAATATGCAAAAAACATTTGATCTTTTAACGTCTGCTTTATCCAGAGCGCAACATTTTCTCAGGAAACTTGGGAAAATGTCAGTACAGATAGATATTTGAAGCAAAAACTCTGTATTTGTCAGTAATTATTCAGGTAATCCCAGCCTGCTGCTAATTCTGCTCGCTGTGAATATCAGCGTGGAGTATGACAGTTACGCTGAGCTCATCTCTGACCATAGTTTCCACTTTATAATCCTTTCAAAATAAACTACCATGGCAGCAACACGCTAGGATGCTCTGACTCGTCTTTTCTTTCTGAAGGAGGCGGTTGGTAATGTCGACCAAAACCGTCCAACTGGAAAAGTGCTGTCAGGAAATTAATTTGCATGCAGGTGCAAGTGTAAAAAAAAAAAAAAAAAACTTAAAAAAATAAAGCTCCTGAAGGTCACATAAGTTCTTTAAATTTGTTCATTTTAAGCATAAAAACAAAACCCTATGCTAAAAAATCTTGTTGTATTAAAACCTCCACCCCAAAGAGGTGAAAAGATGCTTTCAGGGCAATTCCAGATGTTTTGTGGTCTCTGATCGTAGCTGATGATGTGCCAACATGGCGAGAGGACCACCTCTGTGCAAGGCAGGTGTTCATAATGTTATGGTTGGTCATTGTAATTAGGTCTAAACTTTGAAAATGACTCCACTTTCTGATGTGAAACAGCTTTAACAATCAGCTCTCGTATGGTGATCAAAATACTTTACATACAGGAATTACGCTAAAATAAAAACACTTTTCTTTCTCTCAACAGAATGGAATCAAGAAGTCTGAATTATTCAACTCAAGGACAACAAAGGTCATGAATTCACTGAAGTAACAGAACCGAACACCACAGACACCAAACCTGTGCCACGTTTTATAACCGTATCGGCAACAAAACAACTGGCCTTCTTCTTGCGTTGTGTTTTTGATTACCGTATTTTTCGGATTATAAGGCTCGTTAAGCGAAACAAAACCGATAAGTCAAACTTTTTATTCAACTCATTCACAATAACTCTCATCATTGTTCAGTTGTACCACATCAAATTGGTTCGAGATCAGTCAGCACAACCAGATTTAATACATACGCTGTTGATTTTTGAGAAAATTAAAGGATTTTAAATGCGCCTTATAGTCTGACAAATACGGTACTTTAAACAAGTTGAGCTTTTTTTCTATTATAGAAACAAAAGTTAAGATTGCTAAACTAACAAAGTTCTTATTTTAAAGAGACCCTTAAAGCACTTTAGATTTATAAAATACATTAAGTTCACTGCCGCAGTGCAGTATGGTCTAAAACAGACTGAGATTTTGTAGCAATGAAACTACTTGTAGTCTTGAAGTTTTATGTTTTTTTATTAATGGCAGCTCTGCAGTTCAGATATTTTAAGCACCACAGCTCTAAACATTTCATTATGAAGGATGAAGAAGTTGTAATGCATGAAAGAACAGCTTTAATATCTTTAAAAAGCAAATGAAGTGGCTGATAAATTCATGTATTTCGAAGAGCAACATTAAAACCAAGTATTGTTTTCAGAAATTGTTTTTTGTGAATCATCATTTTTTTTCCCCCAGTTGTTCCCAGATGTTTGGCTTCTTTTGTTCATTTGTCAGGCCTTTCAGTGACGTTGAACCCCTGAAGCAGCGTCGCCCTTGTGGGTCCTGGCAGGACGGACTGCAGTGCGGTAAAGCTGAAGTGGGGGAGGAGGTGCCGATCAGCATCACCCCCTCCAGGACGAGGCTTTTAAGGTCAGCGCAGAGGAGACACAGCTACTCGTTGACAGTTTTACTGCTACACAAGCGATTAAGTAATCAATAAACTCATGAAAGAGACTGTAAAGGAGTGATGTGACGTAAAATACGAATAAGTCAGACTCATCTCCTCTACTCTCATCAGTTTTTTTTAAATTTATTTAAATTAAGAAGTACCCTAAAGATCCACATTTAATGAAGCTGACCCCAACTGGGAGATCCAGTCTCCCACAAAACAATCAGCGTTGCACCGGTGGTTGTCCCTGTAGCTCTGCAAGAGGAAAACTTACATTTACAAAAAGCTGAAAATGGGTATAGAGTGCATCTTTTAAGGGAAATGTAAATTTAATGAATTACCGCATTTTCTGGCATATAAGTCGCTCCGGACTATAAACTGCATCAGTCCAAAAAAAGCATCACAAAGAGGAAAACAACATCTATTTCAATTCAGTTTAACCTTTTATTTATACAGAAAAATCACAATGAGCCTCGAAGACGCTTTTACAAGTGAGACTTGTTTAGACAAATAAAAAAGTTGTGAAAGTAACAACATGAAGGATTCGAAGGCAAAAAAAAAAAAAAAAAAATCCTAACAATCTTTCTCTCTCAATGGCCAATGAGAGACGACATGAAATTGGAAAAAAAAACACCCCGCCCACATAAGCACATGGTGATGTAGACATTCTGCAGGGGAGGGGAAACGACAAGGGTGGCGAGCGTGTCCAAGGACACTCCCGGAGGCACTGTAGGAGTTCTGATAAGAATGAAAAAATCAGCCAGTTCGCTCTGGTGAGAGTCGTAAATATTTTCTGGGGGTGCCGAGGTTGGCCAAGGACAGCGCCAGTGAGAATCCAAGAGTCCTGAAATGATGACACAATGTTTATGTAGCCGGTTTCCCCCGATAGGTCTGTAGACTTCCTTGGTGGGAGGGGAGGGAGTCGCTTCGGTGTATTAGTTGCATTTATTATGCGTCACCGCTGACCCATCACGTTTATTAGGCATTTATTTAATGGTCAAAACAGCTTCATTTTGCCTGGGAGGCGCCATCCATCCATCCAGCCAGCCAGCCAGCCAGCCAGCCAGCCAGCCAGCCATCCATCCAGCCAGCCAGCCAGCCAGCCAGCCATCCATCCATTCAGCCAGCCAGCCATCCATCCATCCATTCAACCAGCCATCCATTCAGCCAACCATCCATCCATTCAGCCAGCCATCCATCCATTCAGCCAGCCATCCATCCAGCCATCCATCCATCCAGCCAGCCAGCCAGCCAGCCAGCCAGCCAGCCAGCCATCCATCACAGCCGAAACTGCTAGTGCTCCAGCGTTCCTCCGCCTGCACCAGCTGAGTGAATCCAGTGCGCACGGGAGGACTCGCTGTTGCAGTTCTTAGACATTTAAAACATCAACCAAAAATTACGTTATCAATATGGGGGAAAAAGTATATATGTCGCAGGACTGACAAAACTATGCAAAAAAACCCTGTGACTTATATGCTGGAAAATATGGTATTTACAACCCTGTGACAGTTCTGATACTTTATTCATATCATACATCTGCATTATACGTAAAGCTCAGAAATTTAAAGCGATTGCATATGATTCAAACCTAAATAATGTATAACATTAACTTTCTTTTTTTTTAATGTTCAACCCACTTACAAATCCAAGTTTTCTGTAATGCATCCTGCAGAGGGCAGCAGCTGTTCATGAAGAGACTAAAGCAATGGGTTATTCATGTTCTCCCACCCTCTAAAGACTCTTCATGTTTAGAAACTCTTAATCCCACATCTTTTAACAATCTCCATCTTTAGCTTTAATCCCTTTTTGTTTAGGGAACTTAAATCCCTGCTCCCTCTTTGTAACCAACTCTAATTCATCCATGTCCTGCAGTATTTTGGTGACAAAGGCCGTGATTTTGGCTGAAGAAGGAAAGTCTAAATCCTTTTATCAAACGCTCTTTTGTTTCTCTGCAGATTATGTCGCTCGGAGAAATGACTTGGCTTCTTATTTCATAAAAAAGCTTCATCTTGTCAGAAATAACAGACAGTGAAAGATTATGGGATTAGGCTTTTTTTGTTTCTTTCCTTGAAGAGACCCTGAGAATATTTATGGACCCCCACAGAAATTATGTATCTCCAAAACACCGAAATAGCCCGTGGTAACAGGTGTGGAGAAACTTGAGGGTGGGTTTGTTCGCTGCTGGAGCTGTCGCTTAAAACGGCTGTTTGTGACACGAGAGAGAAACGGGCGAAAGAGAGGGACAGCTTTGAGTTCACAGTGAGGCCATTGTTGATGTCCTCACTCGAGTCAGATTCCTTTCAGCTGACGTGATCCTTCAGCTGAACGTGACATTTAAACTGGTTATTAGAGAGGAAAAGACGCTCCAGATTGGAGTAGTTTCCTGGAAGTACAAATGTCTTCATTCCATATGAATGTCTGGAATGAAGTTCCACCCTTCAGTGTCCCAAAGTTGGACAGACGGTGTTCCTGAGACTAACGATTAAACACAAATACACACGGAGTCTTTGAAGCACGGGTCCAGACGTCTGAGTGTGTAAAGTTATATTTTATGTTCTTTAAACAGAGGAAATATCTGGATTAAGAGGATGCTGAGATGGAAATAAGATAGACAGCATGAATAACGTGTAAAAAGACAACAAATGTCATAAAACTCAGATACAGAGCTGTCTGAGATTGTTTAAAAATGGCAAATACGAAACGGAGATGTTAAAAAACAGATGCAAGCAACAGTGAAACAAAATCTATAAAAAAAAACAAGTTAAAAATGTGAAAAAAGTGGAGATGAAAAACAACTAAAACTGAGACAAGATAGGCATAAAGAACAGAAAAAAAAATGTTAAAGGAGGAAAAAAAAAAACTCCCCAATTTGATGTAAAAAGGATAAAGTGACAAAATAACTAAAATGTAAAATAATTCCATAAAAATGGAAGTAGCTGCAAAAACCACACAAAAACTAATAATAAAAAACGTAGTGTAAAATCGGTGAAAACATCCAACATAAAGATGATATATTACAAAAAAAACAACAATTTGATCGAGCACGAGATGCAAAACAACCAAAAATCTGACCTTCAATTGACCTACAGTAAGAAAAATGGCTACAAAAAAACCAAATAATATCAAAATAATATCAATAATCATGCCAAATTACAAAATAGTCGGACATAAAATTATTAAAATTGAAAAATTTGTGCAGAGATGAGTTGGAAAAGAAGAGTCACAAAGATGTCAAATGGTCAAAATGAGAAAATAAACACAAAACTAATAAACTTAAACTGAAAATGGTCAATTCAGTCTCCTATAATTTCTGTACAAGTTTGAAACGCAAAAGTTTCATAACGAGCTCGGCTGCTCGTTAGGAGACATTGGTTTCAGCTGTTAGTAGTTTTAAAGCTCCAAACGAGCTGCTGTTCCCAGGCTCGCTGCTGTTCCCAGGCTCGCTGCTTGTGTGGAGTATTGAAATGTGGACATTGTTTATAAGTATGAAGATAAATCAGACTCAGAAGTAGTCATACAAGAGTACAACGAAATCTGCGTACAACAAGTATGGGGTGTCGTTTGTAAAGATACACAGTCAAAAGTTAACAGCAATATTTTGGTTTGTTTAGCCTTTTCATAAGAAAAAAAGTTTTTGTTTTCAAAGTCATAGTTTCACCATGTTAGTCATACATTTATAAATGTCGTAGTTCACTAACTAAATATTTAATTTGCAATCTAAATATTTAGTTTACAAACTAAATACGTAACTTGCAAGTTAAATATTTATTTATCAAGCTAAATATTTAGCTCCACACTAAATATTTAGTTTACAAACTGTTTATGTCCAAGTTAAATATTTAATTTCCAAGCTAAATATTGATTTTCAAAATTAAATATTTCATTTCCAAACTAAATATTTATTGTCCAAGCTAAATATTTAATTTCCAAACTAAACATTTAATGTCTATAGTTTAAGAATTAAATATTTACCAAACATTTAATTTGCTAACTAAATATTTAGCTCAGACCTAAATATTTATTTTCCAATCTAAGCATTTAATTTCCAAAATAAATATTTAATTTGCTAACTAAATATTT